AATGTAATGCGAGGCCATTCCGACAGGTTTTCAGGTTGAATGATGATGCCTGAAGCTCCTTGTGATGCAGAGGGAGCTTGATGATGATGGGGGCAAGGAGGCGCGCAAGCACATACCAAAGTTCGCTAACCATCTTGACTATTGTGACGCGAAAACGGTACAGATATCAATCGAAAAAGGTCGTGTTGAAGGATACGAAGTGTACGTGGGAACGACAGGCGAGCTGAATTGTCGGGAGATGAAGTCGTTGATTAACGGTTCGGTTGCTTAAGACGAAGATGTCGAGGTAAGGTGTGCTGGTTAAGGTCTCATTCCAGGTTGGCGTCTGGTTGGCGGCAAGTTTTGCTGTACTGTGGTAGGAGGGAGCACGGGGGAGCATTACCTAAGACGCCACGGGGATTCCTACTGTTTCGGATTAAAGATAGACCAGACGCGCTAGTCCCTGGCTGGTGGATCGAGGATCTAGGTGGGTCTAACTTCCACAGCCTCGCATGCTGAAGCCACACAAGGCTCGCCGCCACATCTGAAATTTTCCGCCTCGGCGCATATACTTCTAACTTTTTTTTTTTCCCTCTCTTCCTTCCCTCTTGACTCTGTCGATACATCGCCAACCACGTTTCATCAAGTTAATCTTAGTCCTCAGGGCGAGCCAACGCAAGGAACCCTGAATTACCATCTTGTATGTTTTAATACAGCTACCACCGCTCAACCAATCTCGACCGCTACGTCCAGAATCAGTTACTGACCGCCCACCAGAATCTTTCCTAAACACAAACCTCGGTTTTAATCTCCAATATGTCTGAAAGCGCTGGTACAGTCTGCCCTCTCTCGAAGCTACAATATGTGGTGTGCTAACCTATATGATAGCCTGGCCCCTTGCCGATCAGAAGCTCGAGCAGGAGCTTCTCGATCTTGTTCAGTCTTCTCAGCGTAAGTTCTTTCTGAGCTGGTCTGTTTGAGAGATTGTCGCTAACGCGCTGTTATACAGATGCCCGCCAGCTGAAGAAGGGTGCCGTAAGTGTTACCTGATTTGCAACTTTCCCTTCATCCTTACTAACAATGCTGTAGAACGAGGCCACCAAGACCCTGAACCGTGGTGTTTCTGAGCTTGTCATCCTCGCTGCCGACACTCAGCCTCTTGCCATTCTCCTCCACCTCCCTCTTCTGTGCGAGGACAAGAACGGTAAGCACCATCGGTAAACCAAGATGTTCGCATTTTGCTAACTTCTGCCCACCAGTTCCCTACGTTTACGTCAGCAGCAAGATGCACCTCGGCCGTGCCTGTGGTGTCAGCCGTGCTGTCATTGCTGCTAGCATCACCAGCAACGACGCCAGCGAGCTTGCCGGCCAGATCCGAGCCATGCGCGACAAGGTCGAGCGTCTCGCCATCTAAGATACCCAACGAACCGAGGAGGAAAGCAAAAGATGGAAACCTTTTTCGTCTGTGGGCAGCCGGCTTCAAAAGTCTGTTTGTTGCTGCTGAGATCTGTCGCCGAACTTTGATGATTCGGTCCCAATCATATGGTGCAATAATTGGTGTATGAAATTAGGCCCTTGGGTAGAATAGTAATATCATCAACTGTCTTGACGAAAGCCCAATACGAAAACGAGCCAAAGTGGATATGTCGAACTATTTTCTAATGCGAATGCGGTTTCGGCGGCTTTTTGGCGCTATAGATATACAGTGGTTACAGCACTGCCAAGTTATGACGTCTCCACTACCAAAATCTATTAAGTTGATGCGGTCATATCTGATTTCTGTTAAGTGAACTGCAGCTTTCCCTGGCTCTTCCTGCAGCTGGATTGTAACTCAACTTTGCATCTCTTGTTGTTGCTTGATCGTCAATCGCTCTGTTATCACTCCCCTGTCGTTGCCTCTGAATGCCCGTACATCATCGCCAACAAAAAGTTGCGTGCCCCGCACAATGCCAGCCATCGCTCGCAAGCTCCTCATCTGCGCAGCGATAGATGGGCTTGTGATACAGCCTCTGTCTTCCAAGGGTCAACGACCTTTCCAACCGGTGCGAATTAAATACGGCGACGCGTCAATTTCTCGTGTCCAACGCGAATATGTATCAGACGATTCAAAACCAGACTCGTCATTTGAAGCTTTTGGAGTGATTGGTACGAGATCTCATGGCCCATGCTTACTGACCCGTCCTATGTCATATAAAATCGAGGCTAATTGCTTTACTATTCTAGGTCTTATCACTGTGTCCAAGTTGAGCTATCTTGTTACTATTACCCGGCGCCAGCAAGTCGCACAGATATGTGGCCATCCCATATACGTCGTAACCGAAGTCGCCATCACACCATGCGTATCGAAAACAGGCGCCGAGGAGGCCATAAAGAGAACCTCGGACCATCTGTCACGCCAAGCAAGAGACTCAGGAAACGATAGCGATAGCAGCGAAGAAGAAGATGTCGAATTTCCTTCCAGAGCATCAGACGAAGTTGAAGATGCTATCATCGATGACGACGATGCAAGGCCAGGTTCTGCCAGGAGTCGCGTTGCTGAAGATGTAATTCGCAGAAGAGGCAGCTATGGTCGATTTGCGCAACGTTGGTTTAGTCGGAGTGGCTGGACTCTGGACCAGAAGAGAAACATGGGACTAAGCAATGCTCCAAAGGTGTCTGAAGCTGCTTCTACTGTAGTTGAGTCCTCCTCAGACGAGGCGCAGGAGGGTCCCGGCAATGTTGCGCCTAGTGAGCCTGAATTGTTGCCCAAGCTATTGCGGACTGCCCACGTTCTCTTTGGCTCATCTCGAAGTTTCTACTTCTCTTATGACTTTGACCTCACCCGCTCCCTCGATGAAAGATTCGGGCCTCAGAATACCGAGACCCCCTTGCATAACCAAGTCGATGAGGTATTCTTTTGGAACCGCAATCTCCTACAGCCATTTACATCTAGTGGGCAAGATTGTCTAGCGTTACCTTTGATACAGGGTTTCGTGGGACAGAAAACATTTATCGTTGATAACCAGCCTCCGCAAAGCGATGACAAGGGAAAGGATTCTGTCGAACTTTCCGACCTTTCGCCCACGAAAGAGCACTCAGAGTTCCCGGGATTCGGAAGCTCCAGAGCGTCCATTGACCTTCGTTCATCAGAGAGAAAATATGTTATTACTGTGATTTCGCGACGCTCCACAAAAAGAGCTGGTCTGCGATATCTACGCCGTGGCATTGATCAGGACGGTTTCGTTGCGAACATGGTAGAGACTGAACAGCTACTCTCCACGCCTACTTGGGACCCGTCTTCGAATGTCTACTCCTTTTTGCAAGTAAGAGGCAGTATCCCTCTTTTCTTCAAACAGTCCCCATATGCTTTCAAGCCCACGCCCATACAACAACACTCTCAGAAGGCCAACCAAGTTGCGTGTCGTAGACATTTTGAAAGTCTATCTAGGAATTATGGCCAACTTCAAATCATCAATCTTGTGGAAAAGCACGGGGTTGAGTCAATTATTGGTGGTGCGTACGAGAAAGCAATAGAAGAAGTTAACAAGGAAGGAAGCCAAGATAACAAGATACCCTTCGAGTGGTTTGACTTTCACGCGGCTTGCAAAGGCATGAAATTTGAAAACGTCAGCATACTTTTGGATCAACTCAGAGATAAGATTGAGAGCTTTGGCAGTACCGTACAAAGGGATGGTAATCAGGTGTCCCGGCAGCAAGGCGTCTTCCGAACCAACTGCATGGACTGCCTTGATCGCACCAACGTCTGCCAAAGCTCGTTCGCAAAGCATATGCTTGAAGTCCAGCTCAAGGAGGAAGGATTTGACATGAGCGCACAGACGGACCAGGTAACTGCTTGGTTCAATACTCTTTGGGCAGACAACGGCGATGCAGTGTCGAAACAGTATGCGTCAACAGCAGCGATGAAGGGTGACTATACGAGAACGCGAAAGAGGGATTACCGTGGGGCTTTGAACGATTTGGGCCTCGGGCTTGCTCGATATTACAGCGGGTATGTTTATCAACCACAAGCGCTTTATTTATTAATTTCTTTCTAACCAAAATAGCATGGTCAATGACTACTTCAGCCAAGCAGCTATCGATTTCCTCCTTGGAAACGTAACGGCGAAGATCTTTGAAGAGTTTGAAAGCGATATGATGACAAAGGACCCAGCGGTGTCTGTCACCAAGATGAGAGAACTGGCCGTTGAACTGTGTCAGAAGCGAGTGATAGCCGATGAAAAGGAAGAATTCCATGGCGGGTGGGTACTTCTGAGCCCAACGACACCCGACGCCATTAGGTCTTGGCCCCTGGAAGAAGTTGTTCTCTTGCTGACAGATGCGGCTCTTTATTCATGCCGTTTTGACTGGATGTCCGACAAAGTATCATCCTTCGAGCGTGTTGAACTCGACAGTGTCACAGGTATCAAGTATGGAACTTACATCACCTCGACAATCTCTTTGTCTCACATCGATGAGGTCAAGAACGCCGGCTTCGTGGTGACTTACAGTCCCGGCAAAAGTGACATTCGTCGTACCAATACACGAACCCTATCAAGCCACGGTACAATGGCAGGAAAGGACAGCCCAGTCGAGCAGAAGGACGCGAGTTTACCGGCCAGTCTGGCGAACTTGCTTACAAGCAAGAGTTCGTCAGCATCACCGCCAAGCGTTCGCCGTCTTGTCTTCAAAGCAACCAATGCAGACTCCTCCGTCGCTGTTTTGGGTGACGATGGCCCGAAACAAACAGAAACCCAGCAGGTGTCCACAATATGTGGTGAAATTGAACGACTGGCACTGGAAAAACAACCACGACAACCAGGCGAGGACCATGAAGCTCTCATAGAGACGGGTCCTATCATTTCTCTTGAGGAGGCGAAGAAGAATACGGGATTGCTAGAACAGCTGGGGCACTCGCTCAAGAAGATGGTGTGGGCTTGATTGACCCATCCAAGAAACGACGTAAAGGATCGACGCATACGTAATAATGGCATAGATAATATAAGACATAATACCAAAGTATTGCTCAAAATGGCAATTTTTGATTATATTGGTTTTTGCAGGCGGTACAAGTGCATCTGGTAACGCATATCCTCCAAAGCTATCGGATACGACAAGTCTTCTGGAAGACGAAACCATGTGGATTCGTCCGACTGCAGCTTCTCCCATGAGTACCCAGGAGTTTCAGTTTCCATAAGGGTGTGGTCTAGTAGCCATTGCATAGGATACTTCTTCTTTTCTTTGCCCAGGGCTGCTTCAGAGTAGCTACCTGGACTATCTACCACAAGGACCAGGCTGTCCGGAGCAAGGACTTGTCCTAGGTTCTTAAGGAACTTGGTTGTTTTCCCGATCCCTGCCGTGGTGTACAGTTCATTGAGCGTGAAGAGTAAGGTCAAGAGGATAGGTGTCTCGCCACCAGCGCACTGAACAGAAAGAGAATCGACGTCAAGGCTCAAAACATCTTTCTGGACAAATGAGAGGGAAAGCTGATCTTTTCCTAGCATTGGACGGTTTGCTGCTTGACGAGCTGCAGAAGCATACTTTGAGATTGGTGGGGGGTTGATAGTACTTGATTCCAGGAGAGACACGACCTTTGCCCATGGACCTGAATCGAGAAGCGTCAGATGGCCAAATGTAGAAGTGGTTTGGACGTAGGATGCAAAAGCGATATGCTCGGCCGCACAACCCCCGACGGACAACATATGTAGAGAGGCATTCCGTGAAGGAGAAGTGCTGTCAAGCTTGATAGATTCTATTCCGGCAGCGACATCCTGTTCCGGCCCATCGTTTTCGTCATTAGTCGTTTCTCCCTGAGTCTGGCCAACATCAGACTCCTCGCGCGGTGTCTCCTCGTTGGGAATCAAAATCGTTTCAAGGTGACGCTTGATACTTAGCAGCACCGTAGCATAGCAAAGGGCTCGTGTGGGGCTCCATCGAGCAGCATAGGCTTCAAGATAATCCTCCCTCCCGAATGCGGTAGCAAATTCTCTGTTGAACAATGCCTGCTTTATCTCTTGAAGCGTCGTTGTGAAGTCATCTGAAGTGAGCGTCTCGTTGAAAGCGCTCGAGAAGATATTTAGAAGACGCTGCTGCTCCTCTTCGCTCTGAAGAGCTGGTGGAGAGGTTTCTGGCTGGGCATTTGATTTTTTGTTGCTGCTCTGCTTCGATGGGGAAGCAGCCTTCTTGGAAGGACCAGTTTTCTTGACCATTTTCCTTCTTCTCTCTCTCTATACTGAATTTTCTGGGATTCTCAGCTCATTGGCTGGATTATATTAGCGAGTAAACAAACTTGAGGTTGTCGTCGGCAACGTCACAGCGGTTGTTGGTTTAGTAATTTGATACTGGAGGGGGGAAATCTCGGACATGTTTGACCGATGAAATCGAAAACCCCCACTTCCATCGGAGGCTGCGAGTAAGTGAGCTGGCGGTTCTTCGGTGAGAGACAGCGAAACCAACGGTGAGTGTAAATGAGTTAACAATTCATTATGGGAGAGATTCGTATTATTAGCAATCAATCTCGTGAATATTATCACATCACATTTTGGTTCTTGTCAAAAGTTTGTCATGAGTGCTGGGCGGCCGCGAAACTTTGAGACCGGAAGAGTCGAAGCTCTTAGGTAGTAATGTCATATCATTCATCAGCAGTTACGGCATCATTGATAAACACTGACATAGTTTATCCTTTACCGTGTTGGGGTGAAAAGTGCTGCATGTAGCTACCACACCTCAATCTCTTGGCTGCCTTGTTCTACTTGTCAACTCGTCTTATCACTTTTGTTTTATTTTACGACTACAGACCGGTATCGCTCCCCATCAAATTTCAAGGTTGATAAAGTCGTTAGCTTACTCAACCAGTTGCGGCTGTGACACTGGAACACCATTAGCCGCACCTCTGGCAGGAGCAGAATTTGAAAACGGCATTGTATCCGACTCAATAGGAGCAATCGGACTTGGGCTGCTGCCCCTCTTGTGTCGTTTTGAACCCCTTGTTTGGGGGTCTCATTTCAATGCTTTTAGGCGTACCAATTCGAAACTCGTTGGAGTTTCCATATGGCCCATTGAAACGCTTTTGCCTATTAATTGCCGGTTAAATTTAACCAGTGCGCGATACTCAGCCGCAGCTTTAGAATTGAGGGAAATAAAAGTATGGTATGGTAGTAGTCATCTAGCTAAGCGCGTTTAGTAATATCTGATGTTTTTACACAACCTCCAAGAAAAATTTCATTATCGAGGCCAAGAATCGCCAGCAAAGCATGGCTACCTATGCACGGTTCACATGTTGGATAGAGTAGCAGAATAGAGACACAAGTAATGCATTGCAATGCAATGACGAAGTGGCCACTCGACGTCACAGCAGCGAGAATTTGTTGCAAGAAGTGCCGCCGTTATGGAGATCCATGGATATTCATGCTGATTAAAGAGGGTCCATATCCTTGGGCGAGCTGGCGATGTCCTGTATGTATGTACCTCTCTGAAAGGTGAGACAAGACCCTGAGCCTAACCAGATCAATGGGTCTATTTGAGCACGCGTTGAATCCATAGCTTGTGGCTGGACTTGAGAGTGATACTTTTACTCAGCCGAACGAATTGCATTAACAAGCAAGCCTTAATGATAACAGCTGTCATGAGAAAGGATAAACATACTTGGGTTAAGGAGGGGCACCCTGTTCAACTTTGGCGTCACTGATGATACCCCCCATCTATTCTGATTCTGTCCCCCCCCACCGGAAGATCCACTCGGCGTGTCGCCGGCCAGATTTGACCTCGTTCGGCGGCGACGGCGGCGGTTGAGGAACATGTTATACTGAAATCTGAGTTTGAGTGAGAATTCGATTTGACGAGTGAAGATGTCGATCTACCCTTTTTGAGGTGGCTGGTACATGTACATTCCTACTGTAATTACCTGCCCAGCATTGGATGTATTGTACTTGCCAAGGGCATCATTCTTATACTTTAGAACTCAAAGGCATGGCGGCCACAGACAACACCAACATCAACAGCTTCACGCGCCCCCAAACAATGAATTGGGTAAAGCATCGCCCAGGTTGCAGCCCAAGTCTCTCCCTAGACATGCTGAGCCGTCCATAGCATACAAAATATCACCATGTCAACGCGTATAGCAGCGGGATATCACCCGGCCGAATTATTCTACCAGACTGGGAAAACTGGAGACCACTAACATTTCATGACACTACCGCACCTGTCCTGTACCCCTCCACCCTTGTTTTGAGCTGTAGTTGGAGCGTGGTAGGTGGCAGGTAGACGTCAGACGTGCTCCGATTTATCTCCCCGTCATTCTGGGAGGTAGGTACCTTCACTCAAGTACCTTCCACTCCCTTCTACTTCCTCTCTCTTTTTTCTCTCCTCCTTCTCCTCCTTCTCTCTTTCTTCTTCTTCATATATCCAAATACTCATAAATCAGTCAAAATGGGTTACGGCGAAATCGATCAGAAGGCTATCAACACCATCCGTGTCCTTGCGGTAAGCTCGACTCTCCTCTCTTCCTCCCTACTGCTCTGCTGTCGTCTGCCCCCTCGAGCTCACTGAATTGGTTTTTACCCCGCCACGGCTGCCCCGCCATTTCTTACCATGGGGAATGGGCAACAAGCAACATTGTGGTGAGAGTATCAATCGCAGAGGACATCATAGCTGGGTTTCTGGTAGCTTGGGGTTTATTCGACGTTTTCGCTCTGAATCCGATAGCTCCGCGGGACCTTGAGAATCAATTGCGAGAAAGAACCATGAAAACTAACGAGCTGAACAGGCCGATGCGACCGCTCACAGCAACTCGGGACACCCTGGTGCTCCCATGTGAGTTCACCCAACATACTTCTACACGATGAGAATATACACTGACATTGCTGTTACAGGGGAATGGCCCCAGTTGCTCACGTTCTGTTCAACAAGTTCATGAACTTCAACCCCAAGAACCCCGACTGGTTGAACCGTGACCGTTTCGTTCTCTCGTAAGTTTAATTGAAGCCGTTGGACTGCGCCCATCTACTAACCATTTTGCCTTTTAGCAACGGACACGGCTGCATGCTTCAGTATGCTATCCTCCACCTCTTCGGTTACGACCTCAGCATCGATGACCTGAAGGCTTTCCGAGTATGTGGTCTGAATCTCGTGTTTCCACCTATGTGTGCTAACAAATCCCACAGTCCGTTGACAGCCGCACCCCCGGTCACCCCGAGGCTCACGACACTCCCGGAATCGAGGTCACCACTGGTCCTCTTGGCCAGGGTATCTCCAACGCTGTCGGTCTGGCCATCGCTCAGGCCCACACTGCCGCTACCTTCAACAAGGACGGTTTTGACCTTGTCAACAACTACACCTACTCCTTCCTTGGCGATGGTTGCTTGATGGAGGGTGTCTCCAGCGAGGCTTGCTCTCTGGCTGGTCACCTCCAGCTTGGCAACCTCATTGCCATCTGGGATGACAACCAGATCACCATTGACGGTGACACCGCTGTTGCCTTCACCGAGAACGTTCCCAAGCGATACGAGGCTTACGGCTGGCAAGTCATCAAGGTCGAGGATGGTGACAACGACCTTGCTGCCATCGAGGCTGCCATCAAGGAGGCCAAGTCTGTCACTGACAAGCCTACTCTCATCCAGCTCAAGACCACCATTGGTTTCGGTTCCCTCAACCAGGGCACCCACGGTGTCCACGGTTCTCCTCTCAAGGCTGACGACATCAAGCAGCTGAAGGAGAAGTGGGGTTTCAACCCCGACGAGAGCTTCGCCGTCCCCCAGGAGGTCTACGACTTCTACGGCAAGCGATCCTCTGAGGGCGCCGCCCGTGAGCAGGAGTGGAACCAGCTCCTCGCCAAGTACAAGGAGCAGTACCCCAAGGAGCACGCCGACCTCGTCCGCCGATTGACTGGCGAGCTTCCCGAGGGTTGGGAGAAGAGCCTCCCCGTTTACACCCCCTCCGACCCCGCCATTGCCTCGCGAAAGCTGTCCGAGACCGTCCTCAGCAAGGTCGAGAGCGTTATCCCCGAGCTCTTCGGTGGTTCCGCCGATTTGACTGGCTCCAACCTGACCCGCTGGAAGGAGGCTGTCGACTTCCAGCCCAAGGCCACTGGTCTCGGTGACTACTCTGGCCGATACGTCCGATACGGTGTCCGCGAGCACGGTATGGGTGCTATCATGAACGGTCTGGCTGCTTACGGTACCATCCTTCCCTACTCTGGTACCTTCCTGAACTTCGTTTCTTACGCTGCTGGATCCGTCCGTCTATCTGCTCTTTCTCGCGTCCGCACCATCTGGGTCGCCACTCACGACTCCATCGGTCTCGGCGAGGATGGTCCTACTCACCAGCCTATTGAGACTCTTGCTCACTTCCGCGCTCTCCCCAACAACATGGTCTGGCGACCTGCTGACGGTAACGAGACCAGCGGTGCTTACTACGTCTGCTTGACTGCCAAGCACACCCCTAGCATCATTGCTCTGTCTCGTCAGAACCTTCCCCAGCTCGAGGGCTCTACCATTGAGAAGGCTGCCAAGGGTGGTTACGTCCTGCGCGAGGTTGAGGGTGCCGACATTACCCTGGTTTCCACCGGTTCTGAGGTTTCTATCGCCGTCGACGCCGCCAAGTACCTCGAGGAGCAGAAGAACATCAAGGCTCGCATTGTCTCCATGCCCTGCTTTGAGGCTTTCGACCTCCAGGACAAGGAGTACCGCCTCTCTGTCCTTCCCGACGGCATCCCCTCTCTGTCCATTGAGGTGATGAGCACCATGGGCTGGGAGCGCTACACTCACGAGCAGTTCGGTATCAACCGATTCGGTGCTTCTGGTGCCTACAAGGACGTCTACAAGGCAAGTTCCTCTGTTCTCATTCTAAACCCGATCGAACATGTTGCTGACCCCTACAATAGAAGTTCGAGTTCACCCCCGAGGGTATCGCCAAGCGTGCGGTTGCCACCGTCGATTTCTGGAAGGATGTTCCCAACATCCGATCTCCCATCAACCGCGCCTTCCAGCAGATCATCTAGATCTAAAATAATAACGAGTAAAAAGAAACGAAGGAAAATAGTAAAAATACCGGTACAAAATGAAACCGGCCAGAATGATTATGATGATGGACTTTGGAGCAAGGTTTTGTGGATTTCGAGCAACTTAGACGTACTACGAGATGAAATTAAATCTTTTAGAACAAAGAATTCATATGCTGTGCCGTGCCGTGTCGTGCCGTGTCTTGGTGTGGCAATTTTCTGCCACACGATTCTATGATCTATATAGTCGTGATTGGGTTGAATAACTTGAATTTGTATGTGCGCCTCCAACGTGTCATGGTTAAAGACACGCAAATTCCTCATGAATCCATATGCTGGTCGATTTTCTTCTCTTGTCGCATCTTATCTTGCAGCTTGTCGCATTATAGATGGTGCACGAGCCTAAATGACGAAATACACCAAAGCTTTTATCCTAGTTTCCTCGTGTACTTCATGTCGGTTTCGCGTAATCCCTTTATGGTATCGCTTCGTATTACATCGCTTCGTAAACGTAGTTCGTCATGTCATGAAAACGACAAGCATTGTTCGGATGTCAAATGTCCCCTTTGTCTGATCACTCTGGTCCATTCTCGTTTGCGCGGTCCTGACTGCTTTCAGCAGCCCATTCCTTTTGAATCTCTCTTCCTACGCGCTCCATTCTAGCGGATGCGCGGCGGGCCTCTCTTGCTTCATCTGCGGAACCGGCCACAACGACGCCCACGAGCGGCGGGGCCGCATCTTCAGAGCGCGGGTCGCTGTAGGACGCCGGCGCTGGTTCAGACCGAGGTGCTCTTTGGTCAACACCATGACTTGACCCAGGCGCCGAACCAGGACGGCTTGAGGTCGCCGCCGCAGGGTTGTTGGTGGTTGTGTCAACGGTATCGCGAGGATCAAGATATGAATACAGTACGACAGGCCCGCGGTCTGGGTACTCGACCATGAGGCGCTGAGGGCGGCCAAGGCCAAGTCTTTGAGCGGCAGTCTGTGAGGATAGTGCGCTGGAGGTTAGGGCTGTGAGGGATTCGAGATGCGATTGCGACGAGGCCGAGGTGATGAGCGGGGTGAGGGTACTGTCGGAGAGGTGGAGGGAGAGGGTGGGGTGTTGCGAGGGGAGGCTGGCCATGATGAAGATGGCGAAAGCCTCAGAATGGCTATGATGTCTGTAAAAATTGGAGAGTTATGCCGTAGCTAAAGGGCTTCTGGCGCAGTTGAAAAGAATAAAATATTATGGCGGAGGTAAGGTGAGTGGAGGAGGGGGGTTGATAATTAGGTCATGGATCGAGGGTATTGGTGAATGGATGGATGATCTGGTGTTGGAGAGACAGCGACAGATAACCGCCCAAACTGGACCGACAGACAGGGTAGCTTTTTGGCGCCTTCGCTTGGGGCTTGGCTGGTTAGGTTGAACCTCGCTGAGAGAGCATGGCTCTGTCACTCCCTCTTTGCGCTGTTACTGCGTTTATGTTGCAGTGGGTTCCACCATATGATAAATCCAGAATTGCTACCTACAAAGAGGGGGGAGCTTGCTGGGTAAGAATTCGCATCATATCTGTTCGGTTAGTCCTTCATGGTTATCTTGAAATCCTAGCAATCTCGGAGCTCTGCGGTAATTCGTTGCCAACAAACAATGTTGAGAGCGTTATCGGCAAAGAGCAAGCTATTAATAAAAGGAAAACATTAAATGGATACTGTATCAGCAACTTATTAAGAGTGCATAGGAACTTCCCATTCCCCCGCCTTTAAATTTCCCCACTGACAGTGATAGTGAAATCATTCAAACGGCCGAGGTCATGAAAGCTCTAGTGATTGAGCCGCCGTTTTCCACCAGCTATCGTAGTACCTAGACCAGATCCAGATAGGAAGAAGCTAACTAAGTCGGAGAGCTATATCAAGTTTTGCGGGGGGGGGATAGCGTGGATGGCTTCCAATTGCGATTGCAACTTCGTTCGTTATGTTGATTCTAACAAGTTGTGGTTTATTTTGGACTTCTTTATTACCTTCCATTTTCTCCTCTCTTCTCCCCAGGTCGAGACCCAAGTACCGTAGGAGGGGGACTGGTGTCAGAAAAAGTTGAGTTGTAATTGGTGCAGTAAGAGGGCTGGATATATCGTGGGGTACAGGATTGATTACCAGGATATTTGACGACGGTTTGCTTGGCTGTAATACCTAGCATGGGTTTTCGATGACCTTCGAAGAGATAGGGGAGCCGACCCATTGTGGGTTGTTTGTTGAGGAAAAGCAACATATGCCTCACTTACGTGATTGAAATGCCATTTTTCGTGCTTGAACATGTTATCGACAATAGACATGTCGATAAGGTGTGGCTGGACATTGTTGTGGGTTGACGAACCTCGGATCTTGAACGACGTACATGTATTGAAGCGGTCAACAAAATGGTAAACAACAGGGATTAGTTATCCATTGAGACACAAACATATATATGTTAGGGTTGAATTAACGCAAATTTACTTAGCAAGAAGACTGAGTAAGTTTGTACATGTCTTGTCTCTAGTGCACTGCTTGATACTACACGTCTGGCTTTGCATGCGAATCAAACCATCTGAACTCACGACAAATATTCTCCAGAGGCATGGATACACTCAGCAATCCATATTATTGTCAATATTAAATCCATGGATGGAAGAAACTCAGTAGTGCATTTCTACGTATAAGTGTTGATTCGATGAAACTATATTCTTGGGTTTGTAGTCACCTGAGAATAGTCTTTCTAGTCGTAACAACATAATAATGCGGTTTTCGGTAGTTGGGTAACTTCTCGTTTCTATCAAGTTCAGAGGCTCTTTCTCAGTCCAACAAGCAATGTCAAGTTGGCAAAGCTATCATCTATACTCCGGGGACTATGCTTGACCACCACTTGAATCCAATTCCATTCCAGAGACTAGGACGCAACCCTAACATGGAACAGGTAGCTTCCTATTTCCTATCTTTCCATATTACAATTCAAATCAGAGAAAGATAATAACAAGAACAAGGCAGATTTGTCTAGGCAGATATATGTTCAACTTAAGTATAGGATATATTGATGACTCCTGAAATGCTCTTATCAAAGGACGCATGATAGTATATGAAAATAAAAAATGATATATTCTCATCATTGCTTAGCACAGACCGAACGCAAGTTGTTAAAACTCAATATAGTTCAAAAGAGATATCGATTAACGTAGAACTATCTCAGTTGAAGGTTCTCCTTGCATGACCACACACCCAGCTACGCTTGTGTTCAGGTTTAATATGTCACCTGCTTCACATGTCATCTCAGTCGTAAACAGCAAACCAGTAGTTTTACCAGGTCAGCCTGTTCGTAACACCGGAATCATATTACTAAAGACAAGATGTTACATACACTCGAGAAGGAGAAGGAATAGTTCTGTTAGATGGGGTTGCAAATGCACAGACTCAACTTTAATCTGAAGTGTACTTTAAAGTTTGTCGGATAGCCGTTTTAACCACGTTGTCAACTTGTTTGTTTTAACACGTGTAATGACAATTCGCGTGATTGCTTTGCTCTAATGGCTACAGAGGTGAGGAGCTGGGACTTATATCTACAGCCAAGCTAGGGAATGTCCGCCTCATCCTAAGAGCTAGCGTGGGGCAATGATCTCAAACTACTGTAGGCACAATATGGTGAATTGGAGGGAGGTATGTATGTCTCATGAGGCAATGTGGCCAGTAAATAATCGCCTACCTGTATGTAGTCTACAAGACTAGATTGGTAGTCGAGGTTAAATAAGGCAGCTAACCGTAATGCGTTGAACTGGGTTATCAGAGGCTAAAAGAAAATGTATGTCTGCATGTTTACTGTCATCATACGTTATTCGTGTTTGGTTTGTTGTGGTGCATCAGTGCCTAGGTTAGGTTCGTGTCGTGAGTCGCGTTAATAAAGCGGGACAAGCAGTCAAGTCAGTGCAGTGTGTTGTGAAGTTAACTAAGGTACATGCTACTAAGGTATGTGTAGGTGGTGGTGTGTTGTGTTGCGCAGCGCAACCTAAAGCAACTGTCGAGATGGAGGTCGGAATGGGAAGAAGCTGCATTCAGATAACCCCAAGCAAGGTCTGATGGCTGGGCTGGGCTGGGCTGAGGGCTGATTGATGTGAATCAAGCTCATCCCATCATCGTTGGATGGACGATTCCCAATGTCTCTCTTATTATTATTCGTCTGCTAGCTGTTGGTGGGGTTGATGAGAACGGGTCTTGGTCTGACAAGTCACCACACACCACATATCTGCTTGTGTGGTACTTTGGCTTTTCAATGTCCTTCCAAGCTCAGTTACATCCTATAGCGTCCAACGCACATGGGGCTGGGCCTCATCGACCGGGGACCCAGCAGTTTTCTGGCGATCCGATTTACAGTCCAGCAGTGTTAGAACAGTAGAGCAAAGCTTACCTAGCACGGGCAGGTAGCAAATCTTCTCCATCTTGAAAGAGAACAGGACTCGACACCATCACCACCGAACCACCTCTAAGTTATCCATACCTACTACTTACTCACTTATCCATCTTCTAGATTCCACTTCCGCTTCTCCTTCCTCTTCCCACTTCTCCTCTTCCTCTCCCTCTTCCTTCTCCTTCCTTCACCTCCACAATCCGCCTCTTCCTCCTCGCCCACCTCGTCTATCTCGCCTCGCCTCGCCTTGCTCCTCAACCAGTCCAGTGCTGCAGTTTTTTTCCCCCAACTGCATCTATTCGCGGGCTGAGAGCTGACAACGAATATCCTCCCTTTCCACTTCCCACTCTTGCTTCGATCGAATTTATCTTCTAGCGGCTGTTTGTTGGTTGCACTTTTGGCTTTGCGACATATTTCCATTGATTATCTGTCTTTTGGTTGATTATCATCTTCTACCGCCGGCCGGTTCTGGTTCCCATCGGCTCTCCAACTGTCCACACATCGTTTCGTCATCTCATCGATTCCAAACGCTTTCATTCTCCGGCCTCCGCCGCCGTATGACCCGCAAACCCCGTCGCATCTCAGCCATCGAATCCCCGAAGCTCTGTCTGTCGTTTCCTATATATCTTTTACCATCACGCAATCATGGCTTCTGCTGCTCCTCGCCGTAGAAAGCTTATCGGTCAACGTCGCCGTGTTGAGGACGAGGGCGAAGACGAGGGTGGTCTGGAGGGCTTGGATCACGATGACGACTCAATCACCGATGGCTCATTAACCGACGACAATGATCCTGCCGACGACAGCGACACTAGCAACATCGACGAGGCCTCCCCCACATCCCCGAATGCGAGAAGGAAGCCCAATGGCGCTATTAAGCATGCTGGCCATGGCCATAAGTCGGGGTCCGGCTCCGGCTCCGGCCAGAACGGCAAGCCTGTGACGGATACGGACATGATGCTACACGGGTTGTCCATTACGGATGAGTCACCTCCCGTTCAAGAGATGCACTTTGATGAGGTTGTTGCTCCATCGCCCAGCAGATCCCCCGCTGCTCCCATAGTTGTTAGCTCAGCCTCCGCCAGACCTCCCGCCGCCCCCGCGAACCGACGTCGACAAGAGCATGAGGACTACAAGAAGAAGAGAGACGAGGATCCGGCATTTGTGCCTAACCGAGGTGCCTTTTTTATGCATGATCACCGGCACGCCGGACCTGCAGCAAACGGCTTTCGCCCCTTTGGACGAGGCAGAGGTAGAGGCGGCCGTGGTGGTATCGGGGGGCCATTTGCTCCCATCAAGTAAGTCGTCATTCGTCACTTTCTCTACTTCTATGTGCTGATATTGCCAGTCAATTGCATCAACCGGGAGATCCTACTACCAATTCTCCATGGACACACGACATGCACGAGACAGTGGTAGAGCAACCACCGCCAGTACGTCCCCGTCACATGGTAGAAGAAGAGGGCCCAGCCAACGGAAATGGATTTATTCCAACTTGCGACCCGAACCCAACACCTATCAATCGGACGCTTTCCACCGAGAAGCACATTGGGAATGCCCAGGTCCGAGTATCACTTCCGGACATGAAAGCACCGATCATTATCCCACGTCTTGCTGTGAAGCAGTACACCAAGCTGCCCGACCATCGACCACCTCTGCGTCGTGACAAGCCTGTCCGCATCTCGCTCCCCAACAATAACCCTCGATATATCTATCCTGCCGCTGATAGATCCTTCATCTTCATCCCCAGGGCAATGCGGCCTAACCAGCAGCGCATGCGAGGAAAACCTCGCTCTGGCTTTGGGTCCATGGGTGGATTCTCGAGACGAACAAGTGTGTTTGGTGGCAGCTATTACGGCAGTGTTTACTCCCCCAGCGTGGCTATGAGCAGGCGGTCTTCTATCGTGGAACGTGATTATATGTTCTCTCCTACAGGTTCTGTCATCTCACGACCACCGATTCCGGCCGAGAATGCCCGGCCCGTTGTTCGACTGCCTCCTGCCCCTCGAATGGATATGCCTTTGAATGCAATGGCTCCTCCTATGGCTCCCCAAGGACCCGCGTACGGCTCAATCGACCCAGCTTATACCGCCGAAAGACCACCCATCCCAGATGCATCGATCAACGACCTACCACCACCTCAGACACATGCCCTTCCCCAGAAGCCCACTTTCCAGGAGAACCGGCCCACGTCAGCGCTGCCCATGCATCAACCCCGGCCGCAGAAGAACATATCGGTTGCGGATATAGAGTCACCAACCTTCACACAAGGTCCTCAGGCTTATCAGCAAGCTTTCCACCAACAAGTGCCCATTCAAATGGCTAATGGCCTATCTCAAGAGTCACATAACCGTCAGCCTTCTTACCCGTCTCATCACTCCACCGGTACACCACTCTCTCAAATCCCGGAAAGGGCCATCCATGCTGCACCATTTCAACCCAATACATACAGCCAGCAATCATACTATAATCAACAGCCTTATCAGGCACAGCCTCAGCAGGGTTATTACTACCCGCCCAACTATAACAATCCTGGCATGGGACCGTCAAATGCGGCACCTGCTTTCGCGCCCGGTCAGCCAGGACCTCCCGGCAGTTTTACCCCCCAGAACCAGCCGGAACAGCCTGTCATGCCCAACAATGGACCGCCCCCTGGTGCAGGGTCCAATCTGGTAGCACAAGAGGTCAATGGAATGGTTTACTACTACGACGCGTCCCAGTTGCCGCCGGTCAACAACTATTCTACATACTCTGCACCTCAAAACTACCAGCCTAGTGTGATGGGTATGGGTGGCATGGTTACACCTAGCCCTGACGGCTTCTATTATCCCCAACAGGCACCTGGCATGGTCTACTATCCGCAGTAGAACTGGGACATGTCTGATTATCCCACTTTCACTTATCCCGATGCCTTCTACTCGTATTCGATTTAATAACTACAATTACGACTTCATACCTACAAAAAAACACAAAAGCGCCTGCTACTTTTAACACAAAAGCCCCACGTGGGCAAACATGAGGGAAGAGGAGGATGGAAAATTACCGTTTCATGTGAAGCCATTCTTTGGTTAGGCTACTCATGCCTTTCAGGAATGGGTTTAATATGCACTTGGATTGGTCAGGTTGACGCATTCTTATCTTTATAACTACGGACTCGACATCATTACTTGGAATGGATTGACAGATGGGAGTTGAGCGGGAAGGAGTATCCTGACTGGTATTGTTATCATTGGTGGGAGACGGTGTTTTCCTTGGTTAGGAATATCAGAGAGGGGGTTGGTGGGAAGCCAGTGTTGAGAGGGCGTTGAATTGCTACGGATTATCATTTCTGCCTTAGCAATCCATCTTTTCTACCCTCTTAATTTCTGTGTTGTGCTTTCATGGCAATGGCGCTTTGGTGTCCGGGGCATATAGTATACCTGTTTCCATGTGCGGGTAGTCCTGATGAAACGATATAATTGCTTAACAGTAAGAGGCGCTTTATGCTTTTGTGAGTGTGTCTGAGCGATCAGGAACAATGAGTTAGTCTATGACCGAGGTCACTTCATTGTATATCCTATGCTTTCGTATGATTCCAGCCGAGGAAGTGAGTCGGTGTTGGGGCATGGTGTGCGGGGATGAAGTGGAAATAAGTTTGATAAAACCAGGGGACAAAGATGGAGTAACGAGGTCACGAGTTAACAATACGTGCATAGTTGCATCTTGATAGACATTAGCAATACCTTGGCAAGCCTGGACAAGCTGCTACGAACGGAAAGACTACCCGATCCTGAGTACTGTACAGACGATTCGTCCACGAGTCTCGTGTATAAACTGGGATTAGAGTGCAATAGTATACTCGGCCTACAGGACTCGATGTAAAGTGCCTACCTGCTGCCGTCGGCTAAGCTTGAGCTCACTCGGCTCAGGGTTACGACATCCGCGTAAGACAACTGGCTGGAGGTGGGGGGGATAAGAGGAAAGGAAACGTTGGAGCTTTCTACATCTTGGACCTCAACGGGAACCTGCCTGAGAGTCAAACGGACAAAAAACCTTGATCAAAGTTTGTGATACACATAAAGTCCTAGACAACTCGGCCTTTAAGTGGGTCAAGTACAAGTGTTTAAACATGCAAACTGCAAATGTCAGTCAGGGGTATTGCTGTATTCTCAGATGATATCGTTCTCATGTCATCAGTCTTTCTGGTAATGGTTTGGCTTCATTCGTTGGCTATTTCAAACAAAGAAATATCAGACATTAAGTCAGCTACTTCTCCAGGCATCGACGAGAGTGACGGATATGTTAGGCGACAGGGAGCACGCGTACTGTTACTCTGAGACCAGCCAGACACAATGATGCACCCTCTCTGCCTAGGACAGCAATTGGACTGGGTCAATGTGTTACTACTCTAATAACATGTTTGATCTCGAACCCAAGACAAGCTGACCAAGTTGATCTGGCCACTGATCTACAGTCGACGTGAGCCCTTATCGAGTGTCGGAGTGTGTATTGACCGACCCGGGCTTGTGGTTCTCTTATGGTCCTCGCATCGTAGTGCTGAAACAAAACAAGAATAGGTACATAAGCCGAGAGAAGACCGATCGACAACCTCAGGTTAAGCTATATGCGGCCAGACCCAGACAGAGTTGGCTTGAAAGCGGGGAAGATGGCTCTTGCTCTCCAAAGTCCAGGACTCTGGGGCCATGGTGACCATAACCATGACCCCGAGTTTGTGACCTTTTGTGCATCCAATAGTTCCGTGGAGGGCGGCGTCGGTGAGCTGAAGGCGGGCACCGCGTTGCGTGTGGTGTTTGGTCGTCATGTGGTACCTGACCGCAGATAAGTGTCTGGGGTCGCGACAGGGCATCCAAGAGGCTCTCGTCCTATTGCAGGTCAAGTCGAGCTGATGTAGTTCTCCGCTTCTTCGCTTTCAAGCCACTCAACTCCACTCTCCACTATTTTCAATCCGGGGGAGTTTTGAAGGCCCAGCCAAGTAACTAAATTAGACTTGACCTGACGGAATATTCGTTACAGACGGTGAATGATGGTTCAACTGTTTCTTTTATCCATGTGAGCTCACATGTAAAACTAAATGCCATAGAGTTAACTTTTTGTCGGGTTGAAGAGGCTCGTGTCAATTGTACCGTTAGTCAACCTCTCAGCGGAACCCTATGAGGAGTCAAAGTTTAGTAGTCGAACGACGTTGTTCGATACATTAGTTGTGCTCTCTTTCCTTCTACCCAATAGAGAACCTTATGTTCTGGATCAAATCAGCCAGCTCCACCATGTTCACAGGTCACAGGATAACCAGGTACTTACTGTAAGCAGAAGTCACTTACGGTTACCTACCTACGTCTGTTTTTCTATGTATTAATTTGTCGTTTGCCGGATTATCCAATTGCTTACAGATTTGTGGTAGCACAGTAAAAGACGAAATTGAGCCCCCATGGTCAGGTAGAGAAACGATCCAGTTTCCAGTATTGATCATTGACTGGAACAAGCTCGACCTCGCTATAAAACTCAATGTTAGAGGTGCCATGGTGCGACCCAGCCGGACCAGAACTCGTCATCATCAGTATTGCCTGCATCTTTTTTACCTTTTGCCCCATGGTTGCGTTTATCGCCATCCGTCCATTGACGAAGCTCGTCTGTCAATACGGGAGCTCACATCATCCTTGATAGGTGACTCTAGTCCCGCGCTAAGGCCGAAAAAGTGCCCTGATCGACCAACCCCCCTCAGTATCGAAGGCAGCCCAGGCCAAGTCCCCAGCCCGGACCATCCCCCCGGCCATCACCTGGTGCAGGGAGATTTCTGTTCCAGCCGCTACAGGTTACAGTTGGAGTGTTAATTCAAGCCGCCGCGTGTACTACCACGCTACCTTGGCTTAAGCGGACACTTGTATGGCTATGTGTGGCTTAAGCTTGTAGTCCCCAGGTACCTTTCCCTCCCTGACGTGACACGGAGCCGCGGATTCACAGTACAGGACAGTCTCGGCTCTCCAATCTAACCTGAGATACCGGGCATCACTGCTGGGTTACTTGCAGCACAGCGCGTCCAAGCCAGCCCAGGCAGACTACAGGCAGCTCAGGCCTGTGTACAGCGGAAGCTTCCATTGTATTACTACTTCTTCCTCTCCCGCCTCATCCTCATCCTCCTTCTCTTTCCTTCTCCTCCATCTACATAACTCGTCTTTCCACCATCAAAAAGTCATTTCCTTTTAACCTTGAAATCATTTCCCCATTAATTCTCCGCATCGTCTTCTTAACAGAGAGTATTATTATTGGCGACTTTACAACGGTCGTCGGTCGCTTCGTCACCGCTGATTGCTTATCTCGGCCACTGATAACACCATCAGTATCTCAGGTCGTCACCGCCCCAGACTCAATTGTAGATTACCTGTAAGACTCCGAATCCGCCATCCGCAATCGTCATTTCTTCATTTTATCATTTCCATCTATTGCGGGTTGGGACACGACGAGGATTTACCTCTGACTATTTCTCTTCTACAGTAGCCGCACCGGACCATTGCGAACATGGCGTCCGCAGCGCATGCCTCAAGTCTCGACCACAACATCACCGTAAAGGTGATGTTCGAGGGCATCACCCGCCGCACCAAGATGCCCCTTCGAGATATGATCCCAGGACCTCTTGAAGCTAACGTACGTCAACAAGCTGTTCGCATCGCTTTCGAGCGATACGCTAGCATAATCTGCTTTGCAGCAGAAGGATGATGGTTATTTTCTTCTCTGGATAACGACTAACATAATGTCAGATCCGTAATTTCTTGCATATCCCTGCAGACGCCGAGGTCGCATTTGAGCGATACTCAGACTCTGCAGCTTCTTTTGTTCTTCTAGAACTAGGAAACATTCCCATTTACAAGCAGCTCTACCGCGCTGCCAAGGCGAAGTCCAAGCTCAAGATCCGCGTTACTGTAAAGGAGCAGCCTAAGACTACAGTACCCAAACCTGTTAGTGTCGAGGATGAGCCCGAGTCTTCCGCATCGGCTCCAGCTCCTGTCAATCTAGATGAGCCTCCCCGAGAGATTGTTGAGGCCGCAGAGGAGGCTAGCCCGGCTCCTACACCCGCCGCTGAGGCCCCTGCGCCAACTCCAGCATCAGATTTCACGCCGCCTGAGACGACTCTTCCCGTCCGCATCAACTCTTTGTCCCGCACCTACAACGCGGCTGACCTCAACGGCGCGGCAAGATATATCGGAGAACGACAAGACTTCCGCAAGGAGTTTGAGAGCCGACTTGCTAGCTTGATGGACCGGACATCAACGCCACTGACTTCGCCCTCATCCTTCAACCTTACCAAGGAGCAGCAACAAACCTGCTATCTTCCCAGGCCTCCTGCGCCGCCGGCCTTCCCTTGTCCCATCCTATGCCCTACAACTGGCACTAGCTTTGCTGTCTGCTGTAACAGCTGCGAGAAGAACATTCCCAATGTTCATTATCATTGCTCCACCTGCGACGACGGGGACTTTGATCTCTGTCAGTCTTGCGTAGACCAAGGTATTACCTGCCATGGCCGAGACCACTGGTTGATTAAGCGATCAACTGTCGACGGACTGCTGGTTCAGAGCACCACTGAGACAATCGCGCCCAAGCCCAAGCCCGAGGTCAAGGTCGAGACTATCGTGGAGACCAAGATTGAGCCCAAGACTCAACATGTGCCACTCCCCAAAGCTCTCTCCGAGCCACTCCCTGCTTCTTCCGCATTGCCTGGCATTATGCGAACATGCAACTGCTGTGTACAAGGTATGTATCTAAACAAACATCATCGGCAATCCGAAGCTAACATAGTATCAGAACACCCCGAGGCCGAGTTCCTCCATTGCTGTGTGTGTGAGGACTTTGATCTTTGCCAGTCATGCTTTGCTAAGGACTCTCATGGCCACCACCCCAAGCATAGTTTCGCCACTGCTGTGAAGGGAACCAAGATGCCTGGCCACATCGAAGTCAAGATGAGCCCTGGACGCAACCACATGCATCACGCTATTTGCGATGGCTGTGACCAGAACATCTTTGGCGTTCGCCACAAGTGTCTCGATTGCCCTGATTGGGACTACTGTGCCAACTGCATCAAGACTGTCAGGATCAGCCACCCTGGCCACCGATTTGCGCCCATCTACGAGTCTCTCACGGATGTTCGCTTCCGCGCTCCAGCAGCCGTTCATGTTGGCATCTGCTGTGATGGACCTCTTTGCAATGGACGCAACGCTTATCCTTCCTACATTCGTGGCACCCGATACAAGTGCGCGATCTGCAACGACTTGGATTTCTGCGCCAACTGCGAGGCTAGCCCTGATAACAAGCACAACAAGACTCACCCCTTGATTCAGTTCAAGACTCCTGTCCGTGCTGTCAGTGTCACGAGCACTGGCGAGACACCTGAGGGTATGCGCATGCCTGAAATGGGTGATCGTCAGACTATTTCTAAGGCTACCGAGACTATGCCTGCGGTTCGCAGCAACTCTATCAACGCTGTCCGCACTATTGTTGATGTTAAGCCTTCCGAGCCTGCTCCTGCCAAGGTGACGGTTAAGAAGCCTGAGCCGGAGATTAAGAAGGAAGCTTCTCCCACCCCACCCCCTGGGCCTGAACTGAAGGGTGTTTTCGTCCGTGAGACCATTCCCGATGGCACTATCCTACCTCCCAATCACAACTTTCAGCAGACATGGACCCTTCGCAATGAGGGTAATGAAAACTGGCCCGCTGGCTGCTCTGTCAGGTTTGTCAGTGGTGACTACATGGGACATGTAGACTCCAACCATCCCGCTGGCATCTCCGAGCTCATGTCGGCTTCGGAATCTACTGTATGCTATGCTCCTCTTGGTCCCGGCCAAGAGTTCCCCTTCACTGTTCTGCTCCGAACACCCGCTCGCCCTGGTAAGGTCATCTCTTACTGGCGCCTGACAACCCCCAGTGGTGAGAAGTTCGGCCACCGACTGTGGTGCGATGTCAACGTCCGTGTTGTTAAGGAGGAACCCAAGGCCAAGCCTGAGCCCGAGGTTAAGGAGGAGGATACCACACCCGTCGAGGAGGCCAAGCAGGAAGATGAGAGCCAAGCCTCTAGCCAAATGATCTTCCCCAAGCTGGAGAAGGAGTCACCTATGGCCAGCATCCACGAGGCTGCTGTTCCTGTGCCTGTCGAGGAGCCCAAGGAGTCCGTTAACATCGATGACGAGTGGGACTGCTCTGAGGAGGGTTTCATGACAGACGAGGAGTACGACATTCTGGATGCGTCTGACGAAGAGTATCTGGAGGAGCAAAAGAAGAGACTTGCCACCAAATAAGCGCGAAACTGATTTATTGGGAACGGATATGGGGTTACGGATTTGATGTTTTTTTTTTCGTGTCGGTCAAGCTTTTTGTTGATTTCCCCTCTTTACTCTGTATTATTTCTTCTTGTCCCAAATGTCATCAGCAACGACAAAATCTACGAAAAACCATGCAGTATGGCTGGGAATGAATTGTCACCAGTCATCCACGAATCTGGTGCCATTCGAAATTGGTCCGTAGAGACCCACGCTCCTTTTGTAGCCAGTAGTCAGTAAGGAAAGAAACAATGGAACTTGATATTTAAATAATTTTCTTTTTGGCTGGAAGTGAAGTGTGTGAGGTGTAGTGAGGTGAGGTGATGGATTCTTTGTAAAGTACATGTGAGGCGTGCATAAGCAGTCACAGCGTTCGCAGTCTCAGGTTTGAGGCCCGACGCTGATGCACAATCAGCTTCTAGGATGAGTGAAATAGTATTAGTGGAATGAGGAAGTTCAAAAGATAACGACTAGCAATTCTAAAATATCACATCTAGTGGGTAAGAGTCCATTTGCATACAAGACATTCATCACCCTTCATGTAGGCCAAACTAAGTTCACGGTCCCTTTGTACCTTGAAGAAATCCATGATGTAGTCCAGTCACGGGGACTGTTTGCCGCCGACCTCCACTGAAAAGACGTAGCATGATGTCTTTGGTTTGGTCAAAGTGGAAGCTGAAGTGGTTGCAACCGGTTTTTTTTTGGTGCCTGAGACGAGAATCTACTATGCTGAGGTACCTTGTAACTTTTGCTGTGAGCAGTCCTCAGGGTAGCAGAAAAATTGACTGCTAGGAACATAAGAGACGAAACTAGTAGGTCACTTTATGTCCCTTAGAGTGTAGTTCTTTGACTACTTATTTTTATACTCTAAGGCTCGGGAGGCCATTTTTTCTGGTACCCAGTAGGCAGCTGAGTTGGGTGGACCCATAATTATTTTTTCGAAGGAGGGTCAGCAGCAGCTCATTTAGCAGTCGTCCCCCCAGCTCAACGCACGGTCAAAACATCCATTCGTACAACTCCTCTCATATTTTCGTGACGGTTTCCCAGGGCGACCCTGGGCTTATAACCTATGCGACTGCGCTGTCATCAACGCCGCATCGCTTATCGACAAGAACAGCTTCTGTAGCTGCATCTTGATTGTTTCTCATCAATTCTTTCCATCTGCCCTTTATTTTATATCCCCTTTTTTGTCCTCAGGTCACGTCACCTGCCTGACCTCGCGCACTCAGTCGAGTTTTTAATAAAATAAAAACGCGACCTTCTGGTCTTGGCCCCCGATCGTGGTTTATCATCACTCCCTCCCCTTACAACCTTTTTTATTTATTTTTTACCTCTACCTCCTTTCATCCACCGTCACGCAAAATGGTCACCTTCTCTATCCCCGGCGACAACGAGCTCGCCGAGGCCGGCAAGAGCACGCCTCGACCGCGTCCTGCGCTGCCTTTTGCAAGGCGCGGCTACGTCTCAACACCATTAAAGAGCAGCCGTCTCGGCGTTCCTCAGAGTGCGCCGTCGCGGAGGATGTTGACGACTCGCGATGAACAGCCAGCAAGCAGCCTCAACAGATCAACAATCTCTACCGCCCGGAATATCTTCCGGGCATCCACAACCGACAGTCCTTCCATAACTCCTTTCTCTCCGAGCATTCCTCAAAACACTCCAAAGAAGGTGTTCGCTCCCGGCGCCACCCCCGAGCCGAACCGTGTCTTTCGAGAGTCGACCGCGCAGGCTACCCCCCGGGGCATGGCAGCCAAGACTACTTCCAAAGATCTCTTTCACATGCGTATCGCGGACCCCGATCCTGAGCTGTCTGGAGAGGTTCTTACAAGGAAGATCCCACAAGATTGGAACAACAAGGGCTCCATCTACGCCGACCAATTCCTCTCCCATCTATGCCCTCCTGAGTTTGATGACGAGCAGCGACGGCAATTTTTCTGCATCCTCGATCTTCGACGACTTAAATACGCAGCCAACGAGATCTTCTCCAACAAAGATTGGAAGCTAAACGTCATTAACTTCGCAAAGGAGTTTGAGAAAAGCAGGAGCATTATTCTTCTGCGATACGGTCTCTACGAATTCCAGAACGTCAAGCCCTCAAAAGATGTCCTCAAGAGATGGCGCCGTGAACATGGTCTTCCCGAGCCAGAGGAAGACAATGACGAGCCCACTCCCACCAAGGTCTCAGCAGCCAAGAAGCGTAAGGCGGATGATGAGGATACCGATATGAAGGACTCTTCCACCAACGGCAAGCGACGTGCTCCCGAGCGTGAGGAGGATGTCCAGGAGCAACAAGCGCCGGCGCCAACTCCTGTCCCTGTCCCTGCATCTACCCTGGGCAAGAACAAGCGAAGGTCATCTATCGGTGATGAAGCTGATGGCCAGCCATCCAAGATGCAGAAGGGTCAAGCATCCGCTGCCAAATCCCTTTTCGAGAAGATCGCCAACAAGTCATCTACTACTCCTGTCAGCTCTCCCCTTAAGCCCTCTGCCAAGCCTGCCGACGATAATGCTGCTGCCAAACCTAATCCCTTCGCCTTCAACAAGACCAATGGATCTGGCAGCTCTCTTGCTCGCAGTATTTTCCAAAACCCCAAGCCCACCAGCACTACCGGTGCCTCTGGCGGCAACATCTTTGGTTACCTTTCTGATGCCAGCTCAGCCAAGAACAGCGGTGTTGATGCTGATGCCGAGAGCGAGGCCGATTCTGATGCAGAAGACGATAGCCAGGGCGATGAGCCAAGTGCGGCAGCTAGTGGTGCCGAAACCGCTTCTCAGGCCGGCAATGGTTTGTTCGGACAAAAGACTGCTCCTTCCAGTGGCCTGACCGCTGGATCTAGTGCCCCTGGTACTAGAGAGAGCACCCCTGGCCGAAGTCTGTTTGACCGAGTCACCAAAGATACTGATGGGCAACCCGTGCGTGTTGAGGATAAGGCTGAGGCACCGGCTGAGAAGCCTTTCCCGAAACTTGCTGACCAAACCTGGAACCCCAGCACTACCCCCATCAAATTTGCTCCGTCTGCCCCTGCTTCTACAAGCCAGGCTACCTCTCTGTTCGGAAAGGCGACTTCGGCGCCTACAAGCTCTTTGTTTGCCAACAAGCCCACCACCACTTCCAACCTGTTTGGTGTTGCCAAGCCTGCCGAGAAGGCGTCAACACCCTCAGACCAAGCTGGTAAGACGGGAGGCGACGAATCCGACAAGGAGAACGATGAAGCACCCAAGAAGTCGATGTTTGAGTCCAAGGCATCCACTGCACAGCCAAGTTTCGGTTCCATGTTCTCCAAACCAGCTACTGAGGCGACCAAGGCTTCGGAGCCTGACAAGCCTGTTACCAACTTGTTTGGAGCTAAACCTGATGATAAGGCAAGCGCTCCCGCGCCCACTACCAACCTCTTTGGTGCTGTAAGCAAGCCTGCTGAATCAAGCGGACCTGTGATGCAATCTTCGACACTGTTTGGAGCCAAGTCCTCTGATGGTGATAAGCCTACTGCCACTGAAGCTCCCAAGACTTCGCTATTTGGCGCTCCCAGCACCTCGGCGGCAAGTGGCGAATCAACTACTGCTTCCTCACTGTTTGGCGCAAAGTCCACGACTACCGCTAGCAATCTGTTCGGCAATAATTCAACGCCTGCTGCTACGACTTTGTTCGGTACTCCTAGTTCCAGCGATGCGACTGCGGCAAAGAAGGATAGTCCTGCCGCAGACAAACCTGCCGCAGCCCCCATTTTCAGCTTTGGTGCCGCTTCCAATGGTGCCGACAAACTCAACGGTGCCGTAAAGCCTCTGTTTGGTGCACCCCAATCTCCCAAGCCGTCTTCTGGAGCAGCCGGGCTTGATGGTAGTCCCATGAAGCAGGATGAGCCATCGCCGGCTAAGAGGGCCTTTAGCGGAGGAACTGCGTCGGGCGCGTCTGCACCCATCTTCAGCTTTGGTAGCTCAACTACACCTGCTGCTGCCCCTCCCTCTTTTGGCGCTGGTGCTTCAGGCACCTCTACACCTTTGTTTGGTGGTGCCTCCACGACTCCTGCTGCTAATGACGTAGGCGCGTCTTTCGGCTCCAACTCGTCTGCCTCTGGAAGCTTCGGTTTCCAGTTTGGAGGCGGCTCGGCTACTTCTTCATTTAACAACCCTTTCGCGTCTGGTAACAACGGAGGTGACTCGGGCGCTGCCCCATCATCAGGCGGAGGCATGTTCAACTTCGGAGCTTCTTCTACGCCTTCCGCGCCTTCTGCGCCTTCTGCGCCTTCCGGTGGTGCCACACCTTTCCAGTTTGGCGGATCAAGTAACACCGCGGCTTTTGGAGCAAACAGCAGCGCTCCCGCTTTTGGAGGCGCGCCTGGATCGTCTGGAGCACCAGGGTTCAGCTTTACAGGAGCCTCACCGGCACAAAACTCGACACCGACATTTGGATCCAACCAGTCTGCTCCGGCCTTTGGCAACGGCAACCTTCAACCGCCTGCTGGTGGTTCTACCACCGGGACCAGTAAGTCTCCTTTTCCGCATCGGAAAATCGCCCCACTAAAGCGACGGGTGTAGACACACCGTTTAGTCTTGGGGGAGGCTCTAGCCTGGCCACTACACCAGCTGCTGGGACCCCGGAACCATCCACCCAGGCCGAAGGAACCGCCGGAGGCGATGACGAAGGCGAGAACCATGAGCAGGTCAACTTGGCCGAGAACCTGGAGCAGGACGAAGATGTTATGCATGATGTACGAGCAAAGGTGCTGAAGTTTGTGCCGGCTGGGGAGAAGTCGGACGATAAGAAGCCCAAGTCGCAGAGTCCATGGTCCACACAGGGTGTGGGCGCTCTTCGATTGCTCAAGCACAAGGAGACCAACGTTGTTCGTCTTTTGTTGCGAGCAGAGCCTCGTGGGCACATTGCCATGAACCGAGCTGTTCTCGCCGATATGTCATACAAGGCAGACAAGAAGTATGTCAAGATGACTACATCGAATGAGAAGGGAGATGGGCTTGAGACATGGATGATTCAGGTCAAGACTGCGGATATGGCTAAGGAACTAGCAGAGGCATTGGAGAAGAACAAGGTCCATAATAAGAAGTAATGCGGAAGGAAATTCGGGGATAGTATATTAGAAGCACACTATAGCGTGCTTACGTAGAAAAGGTAAGGTCCAAGGAGCAGCATTGCGGGCGTTGTCAAGCATTCGAAGTTTATACTTTTTTTTGCCGGGTGGATTTATCTTTTAGAACATCGTGGGAGGAGCTCAAGCAGACAAAGATTGACTTGACTAGCTACTACCAGAAATACAACAAAAGTTGCTTTATAGGAAAATATTTTTTGGTGCTTTTTATTATTGGAGTTGGCAGTGATAGGATTTGTGGCTGGTTGTTGTGCAATGAAGTGATTGTGTATAATCGAAGCACTAGACAGGTAATTGAGAGAAAATATATTCGATAATCTGAATTGTGTTGCGGTAATGTTCTTTTGTAACCTATGAGTACCTAGGTAAGATTGCCAGATGAAATGAGGGAGTCAAGAACACCTAAATTCTTTAGCTATATACGAACAACCAAGAGCCAAGCAGATAGCAAACCTAGTCCGATCTATTTTGAAGCATGTCTTCAATGAGATGGAATTCATCCTATAAATTGTTCATGGAAATTTGCGATAAGCGAAAGGCAACACTTGAGCTGACGATGGAAGTCCTCTGTGAAACGCGGGGGCGGGGATCAATTAGGCCCGGGAAGCTCAGGGCAGGTGCGGCACGCGTCGCGTCAGGTTTCCCCAAGACGATGCATGAACGGAAAAGATTTGGCTCTAAAACAACAACTTCTCAGTCCCTGATTGACCCTTGACAATATGCCCAGGTAATTTAACTCTCTCTGCGGGAGATAAACTCAATTCCGATACTCACGTGTACTCGACAGGGAGATTATTACGATCCAGGCCGGGCAGTGCGGCAACAGCAGTCAGTTCAATCCCTCCCCCGCTACCGTCCCCATCAGCTACAGACCACATCTACCAACCTCTACAATGCGTTCACAATCGAATATGCATGCGTCTAGTGGCCATGGCTGACTCTCTTCACGTGCACAGTTGGAAGTCAATTCTGGCAGCAGCTTTGCCAGGAACACGGCATCAGCCAAGACGGAAACCTCGAAGACTTTGCGACCGAGGGTGGTGATCGAAAAGATGTATTCTACTACCAGAGTGACGACACGCGGTACATTCCTCGAGCTATCCTTATAGATCTGGAACCTAGGGTGCGCCTCCTTCGATAGTGGTAATGCAGCCGAATGCTAAGAAGCTTTTGCAGGTCATCAACGGTATTCAAACAGGGCCATACAAAAACATTTACAACCCCGAGAATTTCTACGTTGGCAAAGATGGTGTGGGTGCTGCCAACAACTGGGGTGATGGTTACCAGAGTGGTGAGGCCGTGTATGAGGACATCATGGAGATGATTGACCGGGAAGCTGATGGTAGTGACTCTCTCGAGGTAAGTAATCTCCAATTTGGGCGGTACTCGTTTACTGACTCTCGATGTGCCAGGGGTTCATGATGCTGCACTCAATTGCTGGCGGAACAGGATCAGGTCTTGGTTCATTCCTCCTTGAGAGGCTCAACGATCGATTCCCCAAAAAGATTATACAAACATACTCAGTCTTTCCGGACACGACGAACGCAGGCGATGTCGTTGTACATCCTTACAACAGTATCCTATCTATGCGCAGATTGGTCCAAAATGCTGATTCAGTCGTTGTGCTGGATAACGGTGCTCTGTCTCACATTGCTGCTGATAGATTGCATGTCCAGGAGCCGTCTTTCCAACAAACGAACCAACTGGTAAGTAATCGCAATACTTTTTATTATCAACAAATCCAAACACTAGAATCCCTCTGTAGCTGTGTGGTTGAAGACAAAAGAGCTAACAACTGTCAGGTTGCTACTGTAATGTCGGCCAGTACAACAACTCTGCGATACCCTGGCTACATGCACAACGATCTTGTTAGCATTCTAGCATCTCTTATCCCAACCCCCAGATGTCATTTCCTTATGACTGCCTACACACCATTTACTGGTGATCAGGTTGAGCAAGCCAAGACGGTCCGCAAGACCACAGTGCTCGACGTGATGCGACGGCTGCTTCAGCCAAAGAACCGCATGGTGTCGACGGTTCCTGGCAAGAAGAGCTGTTACATCTCTATTCTCAATGTCATTCAGGGTGAGGTTGACCCAACGGATGTTCACAAGAGTCTGCTTCGTATTCGTGAACGTCGTTTGGCTACATTTATCCCTTGGGGACCTGCGAGTATTCAGGTAGCTTTGACGAAGAGAAGTCCATATATTCCCATGAGTCATCGTGTAAGCGGTCTCATGCTCGCCAACCATACAAGCATCGCAACAGTACGCAACACCCTTCCCTTTTACAGCGATATGCTACACACGTACTGACACATGCATCTACAGCTTTTCAAGAGAATCTTAAGACAATACGACGGGATGCGCAAGCGCAATGCTTTCATGGAAGGTTACAAGAAGACAGCACCATTCTCTGAGAATCTCAACGAATTTGACGAGGCACGGCAAGTGGTTGCAGACTTAATTGGCGAATACGAAGCCGCTGAGGATGCAGACTACCTCAACCCAGACGCAGGGGAGAAGCCTACGTCTATAGAGACAGATCGACGAGTAGCGTAAGGGGGGAGGGGACCACGTTTGAGATAGTGGAGGCTGAGACGTCACGGCGGGTTGGATGTTGTTGACATTGCTTGTAGGCGTATTAGAGTAGAGGCGTTTTGGGGGCCGGGCTCGGTTTTGTTTCGGCTTTGCAGGTATGCACGGGGCTGGCCTTATGAGATCTATCCTAGTGGACAGCATATTATTTGTCTACATATGATTGTGGTGGATTGCCTTGATCAAAGTTGATATGTCGCGTGCTCCCCGCCTCGAGTCAGCTTCAACCAAGGCACTGACTTGGTACCTGACGATGGCCTTGGTAGAAATCCCTGCAGTACTCCTCTTTAATAAGAAACGGGTCGATCCGCGATCCGATTTAGTATGATTCGAGTAAGAAAATGCGGTACAGAATCTATCAGAAACATCGTGGAACGTGAAATATGATGATGCTTGTGGGGAATAACCCGGAGCTTTACGTGCGGATGAGGCTAAAGTGACGTCACTGACGTCACAAGTGTAAACCGCATCGTGATGTCAATTTTCATTGTTTGTTTGGAGGAGAAGAGATGCGAATTATGGAGAAGATTAGTTCTCTGGGCGCTGACAAGAGAATATTAAAAAGGCCTTTGAGAAGCGTTGTAACTCATCATCATCATTATCAACTCTTCACCCACATCATCACAAGACTTCTACACCACCAAAACTACAACCTTCAAACCAGTAAGTAAAGTCACTCAACATTCACACTTTTAAAACAATACAATGTTCTAACAAATCATCCAGCAAATCAATCAAGATGACTCAATCCAACGACCAGAAGATTGCCGAGACTCAGGCCAACCTTCCTCTCCCCGACCAGCCCCCCACTGCCTCTGACTGGCAGTCCGCTGACGCCCGTAACGTCAACGTTGGCGCCGGCAAGGTCGAGGGCTCAGTTGGCACTGATGCCCATGCCCAGTCTGGTCTCCGTGAGCCCGCTACCAAGGGCGAGGAGGTCGACTTGAGCAATGTCGGCCGCGAGGGTGTTGAGAAGAACCAGCAATAAGTGCTGTGCCTGTCTGTACGATGTTGAGAGAAATGAAAAGGAAAGGGACGGAGAGCGAGATTCGAGGAGGTTAATGATACCTACGTATAATCAATGAAGCGAACTATAAGCATTGAACGCTATCCCATGTTTATGCATCATCCTTTGTGATTTGTCTCTTTCAGTCCGCCTAACTACCCCTGTGATTTCATAACAACAGCACAGTCTTGTTTCCATTGGATGATACTTGACTGTTAGCCTTGAATATTCACTTGTTCGTACCGTTGAGAGGATCGTTGTAACGTTGCATTTTGTGTATCATCTGGCCGCTGGGCACATCATGCATCATTTTCTGAATGTCTAATTTGGCTGCATTGCAACACAGTACATTCACTCCATATACGATACATATATGAAGCAGTACTTTAACAGTATACTTACCCCTGTCAGTGACCTCCATCACGATATCTGGTTGTGCGCATCAAAGAAATCTCTCCAGTTAGTACCAGGGATCATACAAAATTACCCTACAGTTACATCAAAGTCACTTCCATGTATTGATACAAGTCCCAATGCAATACAGATGAAACAAGTTCACAATGTATACTGGCCAGATGTACGAAAGGTAGTAGTAGTATTAGAGAACCTACACTCGTGGCTATCGACTTACCCTGTATCGTAGCATCACATTGCCTGGCAAATCTCAACCAATTGAATCAAACCCATGCAGGGGATTAATAACAAACATCAACTGAACAAACAAGCAACTTGTGATATCAATTCAACTGTCTCTCGCTGATACCTTTGTCTGGACCAGCAAATCATATTTAGCCGACCTCAACAACCATTACATATTCACAACCAAATGTACCAACACGCCCAGTGATGAGAGAAGGATTTCTGGGGCCTGTGCTGTGCCGCATGCAAGATTTCTTTAATGCTGCCTGGGAGATCAGAGACACAGGTGAAAATCTCACGCCCATCTCTATCTTGTAGGCAGTGCAGAGTAACATTGTTAGATGACAGATTTGACAATCGCGATTCAATAAATGGAGCTAGACTGAAAGGAAAGAAAGAAAAGATGTGCCAGCGAGATATGATATGATGATATGACAAGAAATGATCTGACATTATTTGTATCACCAATAAGTCTGTAAAGTTTGCTCTTTTAGATTTTGCAGAACCAACATGCGCTGTTTTGTTTGAGATGTGCTCGAGCACACAGCAGAGTGTTTGGTAGCGACACCAGAACGAACTATACCATGACTCGCATTGTAAAGCACCAGGAACGCTTGGGCGCACGTCAAGGTAATTAGTTGAGTTAGTTCAAGGATAAAGAATCTCAGCGGGGAGGCATTCCACAGCCCCATGGCTAGTTTCTGCAACCAAACTTGGCAGCTAACAGTCAACTTGTGATAAAATTCACCCTATGTTTGTCTTTGCCTCAACTTGTTTCGCAGCCAAGAACGCATCTGCGTAATTAATTGCAGGGCAGATATGGCACTCAGCTCGCAAACCATCACCGATACAGTATAGTGCTGCCCCATAAAGCGGCTGGCGTTCGCCCTAACATCAACTCCAAGCCAATGCGCTTTGATGGTCCCGATGCTGCACAGGCAGACAGGCAATAGGGGCGTGCTTTAACTTTCGGAGCAGAGTCAGGAACTCAGGAACTCACCTGGCATGACTGCTAACTAAATCAGAGGACCCTGGATCGGTCACGGAGCCGCTGTCTCATATTCCCACATCATCTCTTCTTGGTCCGGCTAACATGCCTTCTAGCGCTGTGACTACTCCATTTCCTGGCAGTAAGGCCAGCGGTGAGCAACATCTACAGATGCTCCAGCCCTTGTCGCCAAACCACCTGATAGGGATGTGAGATGGCGCATGAGTCTTGGACAATGGCCGAACTCGTCATTGAGCTGGAACTAACCAACCGCGGTATTTCAGACCTGATGATCGACGCAACTACCCGAGAAAAGTGATTTCAGGGTCCTGGGGGTTTGATCTTATCGACGCCATGGCCAGTGCCAAACCCCAGCTTGTGAGCCGGATCGTCAATAGCCCCAGGCCATTTGTATTTAACACAGCATTGTCTCATTAAATAGGCCCCATTAAGGGTTCTTGCACAGGGCAGAAGCTGTAAAGTCTGAGATCGAGTTGCATGAAGTGAGTCTTCTGTCCATAACCACATTGTGGCACGAACTCTTACGACGCAAACTTCAGTTTCACCCCCTAGATATAGATTCAACATGGTTGCAATGCCATCCTCTAGAACGATCATGCATATACTATGGAATCTCCACAGGTGTCACATGCCGTAGCCAGATAGACATCGCCCACATCTTCATATCGGTCAATAATGGCCAAGTCAGGGTCCAACATGGCCCACGATCTCGGATATTGAATGCGTTGTCAGGCAAGACCCAGAAGACCCTTGAGAGGCCCGTCTTGGGCCTTTTTGACCCCTACCAGAGGCTCCACGGTTGGTTAAAGGCCAAAGATGAAGTACTGGCAAGGCGAGTCATCGTTTGAATTGGCCTACAGCAGATTTGGAAGGTATGCGCAAAAGTAAAAAGGGGGGTCTACTTGCCATATCACATCCCTCCAGTGGATAAGAGAAAGAAGTGAATCACGAACGAACCACGTTCAATCCCACACGCTTGTGTAATATCCGGGACGATTCACCTAGACAAGGTACGTGGACAAGGAACTTTGACTGCGAGAGGATGCGTACGAGCTGATCAAACCGCGACTAGAACTCAACTCTCCGGCATCCGAATGAAATATTTGACGGCGGTCAGAAACAACTGCCGTGGTGATAAAAAGAGAGACACCAAATTGGCGTTTCTAGCTCGTCAAGATCGCCGCTTGGACACCTTCTCGAAGATTGATTTGGTGGGGGCTTCAATGCGTAGCTCGACTTGACTCATGATCATGCTTAAAATGTAGATAGACCCCTCAAGCCCTGTCTATGCTAGTTTTGGTTGGTAAGTTCGCATGACTTTTATATAATGCTTGTCCATGGGCGTGCAAAATGTCATCCTCTTGACTTTCTCATTCATGCTATAGCGATTGCCTTGTTGATGCATCAAGACTGTACTTGGTTTGAAGTGGATGCCTATGTGAGCAATATAGGACAAATGTCTTGCTAACCAAGTTCGTAAGAAGGCTGTAAATAGCAAAGACATATTGACTTCATCTCAGCCTTTCGGCACCAAGGCTTGTCATGTGGCTTAATGAGTCGCGCTTTGGTCCAGAAGCAGGGGTCTGGAAATCGTCAGCTTCTAGGACCCCCGCCCCGATATGGGGGATGAGATACGATACGATGCGATGCGATGCGGTTCGATGTGCTGCCGGCCTACAACACGAGATGAGATACGATGTGAGGAGAGTTGAAACACAGTTGAAGCCATTTCATTGGACCGGTAGTGACCTGTTCAAAATTCCCGCCGAGGCTCCATGCGAATTTTCAGTGCGTGGCTGCCCAGACTTGTGTAGTCAAGATCGATAGTTGTTCGTTATCTTTATGACTGGTTATCCATCATCACCCGCTCCGAAAACACTAAGAGGGCATCGGGTAGCAAGCGAACAAGCTTTCCATCACATCGTATGATGAATCACGCCAGTTTGGGTCAAAGAAGGGGCAAACAAGCCTCAATTGACCCAAAACGGGCAAGTCATTCGTGCGCTTGGCTAAGCTTGTCTTCTTGTTAGCCAAAGCTGGCAAGGCTGAGACGACGACTCGGTACCAGAAGAATGATATGGGATATCTCGTCTCGCATCCGCGGAAGCGGTTATCGACTAAATTTGTAGACCAGTTCTTAGTTTGAGAACATCGCAACAATACGCTGACAGCAACATTGAGAATTCTGGTGCGGAATTTAGTCCGAAGCCCTTGACGCCAAAACATAAATGTAGAGCCGCCAAAAGGCCCAAGCCATGACTACTGTCAGGTGTCTTCAGTGGCGCACCCTAAGACCTCGGTTGAAAGTTGCTGCCAGCTCGGTTGGCAAACCCTCAAGTTATTGAATAAGTGGCGGTTGCTCGAGATTTATCTCGTTTATATGCTTTCGGATCAATCACGGACATAGCATAATCATCGATTGAACGGATAAGTATTCATGAGGCTGATGTCCAGATCGACTAAGGTCCTCTTTTGTCATTGGCCCCGGGGCCTGAACGAACAATAAGGTGTCACTGTAAATACTATATCGGCCAATAGCACATTCTTTGATATCAGGCGACTCGGTAGTGCCAAGTTTGAAAAAGACAATCGCCAGCATTGATGGAGTCGTTATCTGACCTAGTGTGGCCATAAGGATTTTGAATTTTCACCAATCAGAAGAGGCGGACTGTCTGGCCGAACCATGTCAAGACTGTCAGCATTATTACCGATCGATTCACCACAGCCGTAACGTACCTATTGAGCAAGCATTGTAGTTTCACAACAGAGCGCAACTATGGCTCACGCATAGGCAGATGAAGGCAGTTACAGTCAAACACTAAAGGCGTGCAGTTGTTTGTTCTCATGGCCAACTATAGTCCTCATATTATCGGCGGATAAGGCGCAATGGACACAGGCTTGCCACGGTGGTGGGCGAGGTCGGTACACACTATCAGTCTGGTTGCAGGCTCGACGTTTACCAAGACAGGAAGCTCAATGTGTCCCAAGGGTCTTGCTGCATGTTTGACACGCACGCTGAGCTAATGGCAGCAGCACTTCGATCGATCCATCCGCCTGTGGGCCCGATATAAGATTTGGCTCACTAGCTCACTGTATCCCCCCAAAACAAAATCAAGTCACAAAACATAGTCGGTGAATGGAAATGGATGCAGGAGGTGTCCGTGTTGTTGTTGACCCAAAGTGGTAGTAGTATTCGTGAGAAGAGCGTTGGCGTTACTATCAACTCCATCACGACCAAGAGGTGAAAAGGGGTGTGGAAACGCTGAAAGCGGTGTGGTGTGTTCGCGGGACGGGCAGGATCTCACTAGTGCACGGCGCCCTGGGATCAGACGAT